GCACTGCAAAGGAGCAGGAAATCTTCACTTATCAGTCGCTGCTGGCATACACAGTTCTTCTACGGAACCTGTCAGCACAAGAACAACAAAGCATCAGAACGTATCGGAGCTACGGAAAATCTGCGGAGCTCGCATGGCATCACCTCAAGTGTCTTTACCAAGCAAATGACAGCGTGACACAAAGAAGACTCATGCAGCAATTGACAACAACACAAATGAAAACCGGGGAGAAGGCGATGCAGTATATGAGTCGCTGCCAGACACTTCGCGACCGCCTGCTTCGGTGCGGAGGTACAATCACTGAAGAAAGCTTCGTGACACTTGTCCTCGCCGGGCTCGGGCCAGAATGGAGAACCACCCGCTCGCTTCTTTGCGCCCACCGACGAATTTCGGAGATGCACCTCTGCGCCGAGCTTCATGCTGAACAACAGGAGATAGACCTGTTTAAAGAAAGACAACCAAGACACAAGCAGCAACCGTTAGTCTTCTATGCTCAACGAAGAAATGACAACTACAATCGACGGGACAGGCAGAATCGACACGACACCAAAGGACTCACCATCGTGCCGCCGTTCAGCCACAACTGTCAGACATCCAGACACTCCAAAGTTAACTGCACACGCCCCCGAGTTTATCGTCCAGTAGACCCACAAGTCGCTTCCACTTAAGAAAGTCCGCCAAGGCGTTCCTCCACATCTGCACAGGACACACCGAACATCATCAATTGCATGGTACGCATCGACAACTGCGCACCCGGATTACCACCCACTTACGCTCCAGACAAAGAAGAACTGTCGCTGCCGCGCTTACAAGGCCTCCAGGTCAACCCAACGTACGCTGCAGTCGCCAACGCCGAACCCACCGGGCGAAACACCTAGTTCTTGGACAGCTGTTGCGGCCAACACATGTGTTCTTCCGGACGCTTCGTGCAACGAGAGCGACGCCTCAACCGCGATGTCATCATCACCATCGTCAATAATGAGAACCTGAAAATAAACAGACAAGGAGTGGTTTAGTTGCAGTCCATGGAGACAAATGTCATACTGCAACTCAACAAGGTTCTAATCGTCGACAACTTGGGATACAATGTGCTAAGCTTTAGTCAGCTAATGCAAAACGGGATTCACCTGGAATGCGACTCGGACGCCAATGAACTTCGTCTTTACCACGGGAAGGGCGGCCTCTTCATCGGTCGCGCTCTCCTAAAGTCGGGTGTCTTCGTGTTGGATTTCGTCCCCGACAGCGATGGCATCGTGTCGTTCGCCACCTAGACGCACCCGCTGGATCTTGACCCCGAGTTTACCCCAGATGGATTCTGGTACTCCAACAACATAACTGCAGCAGAGAGAACACGAGCGTTAGCAGTCATCCGACAAGAAAGACAAGTACCAGCAAGTGTCCCTTCCCCGACATCACCTGCAGTAGCAGCAGCAGGACCCAGCCGTATACCATCAACAGCAATCCGAGGACCGCCAACCGAAGCAGATCAACTTATGCCTATCACCCGAGAAGTCTGGCGAAGTCCCGCCACGGTCGTCGCATTCTTCTCCAACACCGACATTTACCAACGCTCACCCGGCCATCGCGCTCGCGACGACATCTGGCATCAACGCCTCGGGCATCCTGCAAACAGCACAATGCTACCAGCCATACAAGCCGAAGTATTAGAAAGAAACGCCCTTCTCACAACGAGCGGCCAAGAACTTCGACGACCCCGCGCACGATGCTTCACGTGCCCCGAAGCTGACCTTCCCCACTAACATTTCCCGCCGCACCACAATCCAAGTGCACCTGCATACGAACCGATGGAAAAAGTCTACAGCGACATCTTAAATATGCCTTGAGACGACAGTGAAGCAGACTACAACTACGTTATAACGTTCATCGACGCAGCAACATGATACGTCTGGCACTACAACCTCAAGACACGAGATCAAGCGTTTGAAGCCTTCACGTCATGGCTGCCCATCACCGAAAGAGAATCAGGCTCGAAACTCAAGAGCTTCCAGTCAGACGGAGCACTGGAGTACCAGTCACAACGATTCAGGAACTATTTGGTAGAAAGAGGCATCAGACGCCTGGTGTCCTTGCCCTACGCTCACCAACAGCAGGGGGTCGCAGAGAGGATGAACCGGACTTTGCAGACGACGATGCAAAAGCTGTTCCTAGGGATGAGACTACGCAACACACTGTGGGCGGACGAGATGACGCATGCAGTTCACCTGCACAACTTGCTGTCCTCGTCATCACTTCCCAACAACGCATCACCGCACCTGCTGTGGACACGAAAAAGGGGCAGCACAAAATTACTTCGAGTCTTCGGCTGCATGGTACAGTGCAGACCCCACACAGCTCGAGCAGGACGATTCTCTCAACAAGCACGGTGGGGACTACACCTCGGCATCGCAAAACATTTCCAAGCATGGAAACTTCTCGACATTCAGGACAAAACCACCGTGGCCTCACGTGATGTGATTTTCTACGAGCGACTGACGCTGCAACATTACCTGGACAACATCGCCAACACAGACGACCCCACCGACGGCTTCGAGGGCCATCGGTCCTTCGCCGACAGTGCTGCCGAAGCCGACGCAGCAGAAGAAGACGTACCTAAAGCCTCGGAAACTGCCGGACCACTCCCTTACTGCTCCGTGCCCGTTCCACTCAATGACGACAATCCTCTCGATAGTACCAACCACGACACCTATTACCACTTCGCTGACCAAGGTTACCCTACACCTCAACCGGTCGACACAAATATCTCTGAACGCGTCGGTCCCAATTTCTTACCCGACCCCGAAGACGGTGATGAAGTAGCTTATCCCGAGAATGACAATTCCCCTCGACACACACCCACGGGCCTGCAGATACTTGGACTATGGGTCGCCGTCCAGAGCCCGCCACCACTGTCACCGCGCGAGCCATCGACTCTATCTCAGGCTCTGGGGGGGGAACACAAGGCGAAATGAAAGGAAGCAATGGAAAAGGAACTGAAGGCCCAGCAAGACCGAAACACGTGGAAGCTGGTATCTGCGACAAAAATCAATGGGAAACATGTGCTCTCGGGGAAATGGGTGTACCGCATCAAGACCAATGCGGATGGCTCCATCGACCGCTTCAAAGCTCGCTGGGTCGTACGAGGATTCGACCAGCGATATGGAACCGACTACACGGAGACATTCGCCCCGGTCTCCCGACACACTTCCCTGCGCATTTTGCTCGCCGTCGCGGCCACCGAAAGGATACCACTGTGTCAGATCGATGTCGCCAACGCCTTCCTGTATGCACCTGTGGACGCCGAAATCTTCGTCGAACAGCCCCACGGATTCATCGACAATCCCACAAAGGTGTGCCAGCTAGTGAAATCCCTCTACGGAATTAAACAAGCCCCGCGGCTCTGGCAGCAGCACCTCCGCGACCGCCTCGTCAGGATCGGCTTTCTGCAGCTGCCGCACGATCAAGGCATGTACCGACTACAGAAGGAGGGGGATTTCGTCCTACTCATCGTCTACGTCGATGATCTACTCTATGTCGGCTCCACTACCAACGTCATCACCTGGTTCGAAGGGGAGCTGAAGAGAGATTTAACACTCACGGTGTTAGTTATCGTGAGCCAATACCTAGGTCTAAACATCGTCGAAGACGACTCAGCGCTCTACCTACATGCCGGAAAATACGCAGGCGTTGTCGCGAAGAAATTCGACCTAACGCCAGTCGCAGTCGCAACTCCCTACCGCTAGGGGAAAAATAGTAACACCTCCGCAAAACTCCCCGCGAAGCAAATCCAGGAATATCAACAGAAGCTCGGCTGTTTACTGTTCGCAGTAGTAACCTGCCGACCAGACCTGTCCTACAGCGCAAGCCAACTGGCGACACACCTGAAGCAGCCGGAGCAAGAGGATCTCGAGGAACTAAATCGGGCACTACTCTACTTCGTCTCTACGCCGACGACTGGACTTACCTACAGCAAAGTAACAACATCATCCGTACAACTACTCGGCTATGTCGACCACGTGGGAGATAGGGAGAACCGTCGCTCCAGAACGGGCTACATCTACCGACTGGAACCTATCGGGACTATCTCCTGGCAATCGAGCAAGCATGAATTAATCGCACTTTTTTCGGCTGAAGCGGAATATATCGCCCTCTGCACTGCAACCAAAGAAGGACTTTACCTGCGGGAGCTGCTCGAGGAAGCCAAAATTGCGACCATGCCCGCCTTCTCGCTATTCTGCGACAACCAATCCGCGATCAAAATCGCAAACAAAGACGGGTTCGCCAATCGAACCAAGCACATCGCCCTGCGGTACTTCTTCGTCAAGGATGAGTTCGCGAAAGGAAGACTTCAATTCAGTTACTGCCCTACGACAGAAATGGCTGCAGATTACTTGACGAAGAAACTAGCGAAGACAAAGTTCGATTACTGTATGCTGCTGACCGGGCAGATAAACGTCACTGAATCCGGACACGTCAGCACTAGAGAAACGAAGGGGAGTGTTGGAAATATCTCGAGAACTTAAGCGTTTCTGAAGTATAACACTACACTCGAGGAAAGTCGTAACGGGTACGCGAGTCAACGGAGGTTACACGAGGGGATGGACGAAAGAATTCGAAAGGACGAAAAAAAGACTCGAAGGGTTGCAACCGGAGGTTGCGACTGACCGTTACAACTGCAAGGGTGGTAATCGAACCGACAATCGAGTCGCTGTGCGACTCGATAACCGTTCCTTCAACTGTATTCTACAACTGCTTTACCTTCCTATTTCCTATATATCGCTGTATGCTTGTTTCTTTTAATCAATCACTTGCTCTCACATACTAGTGCAAGGGTTCAACTACTCAACACTTCCGCTGCACTACTTAAACCTTGTACAAGTGGGACTTAGTCTCTGGAAAGATCCAAAGGGCTTTTTCTCAGCCCAATAGTTGACATGCATTGCATGCATAAATCCATGAGAGTGAGTTACCGTCTGAGGAGAGCATGAACATCGCGAGGCTATGACAGATAGGTTAGTTGCTGAAGTCAAGAGGAACAAGGATGCTGATCCACCTACTGTTATATGTTGGATATTCTCCAAAACAACCCCCCCTCCCATTTATTTCAATATCGCTAGGCTGCAAAGTTGAGAACGAACATACAGTCTACTCTTATACCTACCTAACACAACCTCTCCCTCCGCCCTGTTCATGGAACAAAAGGATTGCTGGTCTGGGTCCCTAGCCTCTCAATAGCTGGAATTGCCGGGACAGCCAGCAAGGGAGGCGTCACAAGTTGGGGTGATACCGCGAGTTGAGGTGATACTGCAGGCTGAACAGAAAGCTGCTCTGCTCCAAGGGGGACCATCCATGGTATCAGTCTTCCATGCACTGCTTGCGGACCATATGAATACTGGCCAATGCCCCTTGTTGGTAAGGTTCTGATGTCCTTGGGAGATGCAGATGCAACTGCAGGAGCAGCGGGACTAGTATCTGAAGCAGCTGACAAGTCGACAGCTGACAAGTCAACAACACCGTTCACAACACCCGGAACTGAGGAGAAAGCCTGCTCTGGTCCCTGCTCGTTTGGCCAATCGAAGTCCAGCGACTTGGATCTCCTTGAGCTGAGATGGGAAGGACAAATCAAGTTAATCTCAAACCCGTTAAGACATAAAAGGCTATTGACATAAAAGCATACCGTTGATGCTGTAGTGGCAGAGGGAATGCCTTCATAGGTTGGTTCACATCATCCTCATCTCCTGCAGGAGCAGGCTCATGCGGTTCTGCTGAGGCAGATCCGTGAAAGCGGAAATCACTGAAGGAAGATTCTGGGTAGCTGACTGATCTCCTGTGTCGGCGAGTATCACTGGGCGGTGGTGGCAAGGCTGGAATCGGGCTCCTGAAGTCAGAATCCTTGGAGGCTTCGGATGGTGACATTATTGTAAGAGCTTGCAGTGAATGTAAGAAGGAATTCCCCCCGATCTCTCCACTGGAAAATGCTTCAGGATTGCTTGAAGATCGCGAGGTTGCGTTTGAGGATGCTTCACTGGTGTGAGACCCTTGATGCCCCATCTTCATTCTCTCTTCGTCAGCAAGAGACTCGGATAAAAGGAGGTTTAAAACAGCAGCAGCCTGCGTAGGAGGACGAGGCGGGGTTGAACTCCTGATTCCGAAACAAGAAGTAAAAAATATCGCAGTACCTTAACACGAACAGAATATCCGTGGTCGGTGCCATCTCTCTTGTCCACACAGTGATAGTCCTTGGAGAAAATTTCCAGCTGCAAAAAAACAAATGAAGTCAGATCAACGAAATAACCACACAAATTTAAGCACTATTTAGCTGAACAAACCATGGTGAGGTACTTCTTCCGAAGATCTTGCCGTATGTGACCAGCTCCATAGATGATCAGATATTCAACGACCACCAAGGAATTGTACACCTTGTTCCTGTCAAGGAAACGAGCCACCAAATTAAAAGGCAATAAGAAAATTCGATCAAATTTGTTTGCTAGATCCTTACCATGAGTTCGGTTTTTTCACCCCCTTGTCCAACCGATAAGCTATCACATCCATGATGGAAGCGTAGGAATCAGTGTTGCAAGATGCATCGGCGAGTTCCTGCAGAAATTTCAGGCATGTCAGACTTTTTGAATCGACGCAAGACCTCACAACAGCCGTCACGCATACCTTCAAGAGTGATAGTGGAGGCCTCACTGCAACATCCTTGGTGACCTGGCGCGTAATATTTGCAACGTGAACGTCACTGTGCCTGCTGGACTTGGACTTACTGAAAGAAATTCCCAATAGACGCCTCCTACCAAAAACACTTTTCAGGGATTCCATCGTTTACTCCAAATCATCAGGCTGCTTGATGTCAAGAGCGGCTTTGAACCGATGCTTCTACATGTTCCCCTGTCACAACGTCCTGCATTAACCAGTTCATTTACATCCTCGCACAACTCCGCGACTGACAGGTCGACTTCCTAGCTAATGCAATAACAGGGTTGACGTGTGTTCACCCTCGTCGGCCAAGACGAGTCGTTGATTCGAATCGCAATGCCCAACGATTTGAGACCCGCCATTCACTCGCTACAAGCAGGTGACGGAAGTAGATGGGAGATTGATGTTGGGTATATCTGGTAAACACATTTTATATATAAACCATCCTAATGTGCAATGTTGATCTAGTTTTCAACCGTACATCCTCTTGCACTACGTTCATGCTGTACTCTCTACTGTCGTACGTACAGATTTTATCAAGAGCCTCACCTTCAATCGTACTACGAATTCTGTAGTTCATCAATAGACTCGTGTACACAAAATCACCAACTCTACGAACGATGCACGTCTGCTTCTGATCGTCTACCCCACATTAACACATGTCCATCACCATCTTCCACCATCCGGGTGTGCGAACGAACCACCAATGAACAGACGATACTCGATATGAATACACATGCGGCTCAATGCCTCCTCTCACCAGAGTCTCCTCAGCTTGTGCCCATGCCAGAATGCCAGTGCCGCAATGCCTACAGCAATAGCCACTCCTGTCATCGCCTGCGGAAGGAAGTCACTTTGTCCCACGGCCACCCCTCCAGCCGCGCCAGACTTCCCCCCAGCCCCTCCTCCACCTGCCCCCCCATCAGCTGCTTCTCTTCTCACTGTGCTGCCCTTATCGCCCCCCTGCCCACTTCTTACCTTCCCTCCCTCCCCTGCTGCTTTCCCTGCTCCTGCCCCTCCGGCTTCCAGTCTTCCTCCTGCCACCTGCAGCTGCCCTCTAGCCACCAGATCAAGCAGGAACTGCGTCCCTTGCTTCGCCAGCACAGCTTTATCCTGTACTCTGGGACACGCATGAGCAGCAGCAGCCATAGCCTCGTACTCCTCCTTCGTTCCCCCTTCCAGGAAGCACCCCACCAGCCGACCCTTATCCACCCAGAACGCCCCCAGACGGTGGCCCCTGGCCTTCCTTTCTCCTCTCCCTTGCTTGCTGCTGTCCAGTAGGGGCTGACTTAACCCAGCTCCCCCCGATGCTGGTCTCTGCTCTGATCCATCCGTGCTTACAGATTCTTGAGGCGCACTTGCTCCAAGCTGCAGGTCATCCTTGCCCCGTGGCTCGGCCAAAGCAGCATCAGCAGCAGCCACACCACCACTCCCTGCTGCCACTCCAGAAGCTCGTCTCATCGCACCCTCATCCCCAAACAAAACGCAGTCACCCACATTATCCCCGTAGAACTGCCACGACAGGTCAAACACCCGCGAGTAGAAGTACGGCAGGTAGTCGTACCGCGAAGGAGCCCCTCTTGGTGCCATAATCGCCTGCACAACAGCAGCAGCAGACTTCCTCGCATGGTCCACATGCTCCAGCCGCCTCCTCGCCCCGCCGTAGATCCCCAGGGGAACGGCAGCGACATCCCCAATGGCGTAGACTGAGGCGTCTGAGGTCTGCATGCGGGGGGAGACGCGGATGCCGCCCTTGTCGATGGAGAGCTGGCCCTCGAAGGGCGCTGTGTTGGGGCGGATTCCGATGCCCACCACCACCATATCCGCTGCTATGCGCTGCCCGTCCTTCAGCACCACCGCCGCCACCTGTGGTGCCGTGCAGGGACGCAGGGGGGAAGGGGGGGGGAGGGTGGGGAGAACCAGCGACAGGGGTCGGAGAGAGGAGGGAGGGGGGAGGGACGGGGAAGGGAGGGGGGAGGGGGGGGGGAGAGGGAAGAGGGGGAGATCAGAATGGCTGTGTGGTGTGGTAAATCGAGAACATGCGAAGAATGAGATTGACGGGTAAACTAGAGCAAGCGAGGGTGCAGGAGAAAACTATGAGTGGACATAGATTTGGAGTGGTGCATGGAGGAGTTGGAGGAACACACATTGTTTGTGGTGCGGTCCCTCTCAAAGGCGACGATGACAGAGCCCTTGATGAACGTGACGCCCTTCTCCTCGTAAAGGCGCTCGTAGAAGGCAGCAATCTCAGGCGTGAATAGACGGGGCACTGCTCACGCAAACAAACCACCCATCAGCCGCCCGCCCGACGCCGCCATCATTACACAAAGGAAACATGGACACACACAAACACGCATGGCTAAGTAAGTGGGACCTTGTGTGCATGCCTGGACGTTGCAGCCAGATGGTTGGTTAGACATCCGGAAAACTTGAGAAACCTGCATGCAAAGAAGTAGGCGATCCCTGGATTTGAGCCCTGTGTCAGAAGGTTACGCTCTCGTCTTTCGTAGCCATTTCTTTCCTAGTTTCTTAATGTACTCACTGCAGTGAGACTCGGGGAAGACCATTGTGACCCGAATGCCATTGGCCACCAGCGCTGCGGTTGCTTCCATGCCTGCCATGTCATCCCAGGCCATGCAATGCCACGACATGCCATGTAATCCCATGCCATGAATGCAATGCCATGCCGTATCATTTGTGGGGAGGGATGCATGGTTGAGCCATGCCACCCATGGGAGTCACAGCGACAATTTGGCAAATCAGAACCATCGAACAAAAAGAACCTGAGAACCACCCACGCTGGACCATCTCCTCTAATGTGCAGCACCCCCAGGCACGCCATCTAATCCCATGCCCCCACTGCCGCCAACTGCAGCTGCCCCTCACCAATGTAGCCTCCCCCAATGACGACGGCGGCGCCCCCCTTGCAGGCGGCCATGGTCCGCACGAGCCGGTCCGCGTCCTGCAGGTCCCTCAGGTAGCAGATGCGCCCGCTGTCCGCCCTCGCCACACCAAACTCCTCCAGCCGCAGGGCCTGATGGGGGAGGGCGGGGGGAGGGGGATGATGGAGGGAGAAAGTGCGGTGGGGGGAAGGAGGAGCGGGTGAGGGGGAGGAGGGGGAGAAAGAGTGGGAGGGGTTGCGGGTCGGAAAGTGGGGGAAAGGGTGTGAACGTGGGCAGAAGCAGAGGATTGTGGAAAGTATGGAAAGCGGAGACGAGAGGGGATGGTGTGGCAATGACGAGGCCGTGTGATGTGATGTGGCTTACCCTGGCGCCGGTGGCGACGATGAGCGTGGTGTACTGGATGGTCTCGCCCGCCGCTGTGGTGAGCTTCTTGCGCAGAACGTCCGCCGACACCACGCGCGTCTCCAGCAGCACGTCGATGCCTGCGGATACCACGGCGCGCAGGTCGTTCACGCGGAGGGGGCGGGGGGGTGGGGTGGGGAAGGGGGGACAGGGGGGTTTGGGTTGGGGGGGAGAGGGGAGGAGGGGGAGAAGAGGAAGAACGAGAGAGCGAGGCAAAGGGGCGGAGGCAGGGAGCGGAAGGGGAATGACATTGGATGCGGCGGAAAGGAGAGCCGCTAGTGGAGACCTTGAAACGGGAATGAACGGAAAGGAAGAGGTCGCATGTGGCCGATTAAGAAGCTGATGGAAAAGCGGGCGCGATCTGAGCCGACGGCCTCTAGAAGAATGAAAAGAGGGGTTGTAGGTTTGGGTGGGTTTGGGCGGCCTACCATGCTCGTTGTACCACTTGGCGGCGTGCCTGTCGCCGCCCGCCCCGACGCAGGTGTGGAATACAGGCAGTCGCACGGCACCTGCGAGTGCGCGGAATGAGGACGACGACGGGAAACGGAGCGTTTCAGAAGGGTGAACACTGACGTCTGCTGTCATCCCGTGATGCCGCGTCAAGCAACTGCGTCGCTGATCCATCACGGCGCAGGATAAGGCGTTGCCACGGTAAGTCAATGTGAGTGCCGACAGCCGGCACGGCGCACGGCAGTGCCAACAAAAGCGCGGCTATACAACACAAACCACGAAGACACATGAGCGCAGAGCCGGACGGTTTCTTCTGCAACAAGACGCACCTTCGGGCATAAGGTAACCCTTGCTGAGTGCTGGTCTCTCGTACGGTACCACCTGTAGCGTCAAGTGAAGGGGGTGTATTTTAGACAGGAAACACAAATTGTCGGTCAATGAGGGAATGAAGGTAGGGGCTTAAGTGGTGCAAGGGAGTTCAATCAGCTAGCAGCGGGCTGCAATGTCCACTGTGCTGCACGTTGGCTAACGAGTCGTACGCGGTGCATTGCTTAGTTTTCACTGAAAACGACGATTTTTGGGCAAAACATATGTTTGCTATGATATCTCCCACGGAACCGCTTGCACGGCTCTCTAAAACCAAACAACACAAGAAGCGACTTCGACTGGTAAAGCAGGCGCACGTCACAAATGACCCGTAGGGAGATCAAAATCAACGGGTTGAGAGTCGCTAACCGGCTCTTCAGAAATAATGCACAGCTCTCCACGAGGCACTCCGCGTTTCACGAATTCGTCGGCAGCGTAACCAGCGGCCGTGCCTCCTCCAAGAATAACATATCTGTAGGCTCGACCCATCACTTCGCGAAATTCAGGAACCCGAGTATGTGAGTGTCAGAGTTTCGTCAGAAAAACGTATCTGTACTAATGTTAAACGTAAAGAATCTCGTCACAAGCAGCAAAGCGCGGGAAGACGACGTCAATGGAGTCTAGGAGACGCTGGACCCAAGGAGAGAAATCGGCAGCGGTCAGTCAGGCTGGTTGGTAAGACATGGAATGCTTTCTCCTTCAGTCCTGGTTCCACCTGAACATTACAGATGGATGGGATGATCTGGCTGAGAGCCCAAGGTGATGCATTTCCCATCAACAAAGCTCCGACCCCACCTAGCTACACCTAGTCCGCGGTATTTTTACACCCAGTATTTTCACAGGGGGTTCCGCAGAGAGGGTATTCACCCCCCGAAAGCAGCTCCTGAAGACCAGATCTGGATACCCATGAAAAACAATTTGAAGTTTGGTTTCTAAACGAAACGTTTACTTCTCGTTTAGTGTTTTTAGAGTCAGGAAACCAGACGTAATCTTAGGCAGTGCTCGAAGTTTTTGCCCGCGTGGAGTCTGCCAAGCTTAGGCCGTAGGGACAAGGGGGTACTGTCTCCGCACTCAGAAATGGTCAGAGTGGGAGCAAAAGTTACTATACCGCCCATTTTCAAGGTGTAAAATTACCGCGATTTAAGTGTAGTCAGGTAGGGAAGAAAACATCCCTCAGATGCTGCTGATGTGGCATGTGTGGTCCCACCGTGCTTCTGCTGATTGGCTGATGGCTCGGTTTGTCCTACGGCCAGGCATTGACTGATGTGTCTGGCTGTGGTGACCTACCCGCAGCAAAGCAAGTACTGTACAGTACAGCCGCTGCTTGCGGCACCTTGGCTGCGCCATTGTTGCTTCGGTTCATCGGCTGCCTGACCAGCCAGAGAGGCACAGCTCAGGTCTGGTATGGAGTTTGGGGCTCGCACGGGCTTAGGTGTGGATGCCGTGGGCACGTTTGGGGGAAGCCAGCAGGACAAAAATACAAAAGCAGCCGTCAGCAATGTGGTTTGCGAACGTGTACAGCAGTCGACTTGGATCCCACAAAATATGCAATGCAGATGACATTGCATCAGCATGACTAGGATGTGGGCCCAACAAGATTCCCCCATAAGGTGTTGTTCGCGAGCCACTTGCGAATCAGAATAGAACTAGAATGCAAAGTGTTATGCTAATAGAGCCACCACATTATCTAAATGGTAGATTCTTGAGCATCCTTCCCCACCATGTTTTCCGTGGTTTGGCACGCCCATTCCTTTTCAAGCTTCTGATAATTCAGCGTATTACGCATAGTGAATTGTTTCTGACTCCAGTAAAGTGCCCATATGACCAAGAATACGGCCATGTTCCAGAAATGACAACTCTGAAGCACAATACTAAGGCACATCAACCACCATACAGTACAACGGAAAAGGAACTCACATAGAGACCCACCATCCAAGAAGGCACAAAATCCATGAATATATCCTAGAGCTATATATTGACTAACCCGGCAATCCTTCACCTCCCTTTACGACCCTTCCGTCCACTCCTTCGAGCACTCTTACGGCCGGAACTCGAAGGATCCCCAGGAAGAATAGAGGCTTGAGCTATGTCAGAAGAAGCCCCTGAAGGGCCGGAGGGATCTGACAGTTGAGATGAACCAAGAGCTTCAACAGGTGGCGTGTCCTCAGATTGCTCATCGCCTTCAAACGAGTCATTAGCCATCAGGTCTCTGAGGCCCAATGAAGGGTCTGATGGGAAGGGAGCAGAGGCTGGTTCAGCCTCTGAGGAAGGTGTTATTAACACTGGGTGCTGGGGAATGGACACTGGTGGCGTTGGGGCATGGGCAGGTGGAGGGGTGAGACCAGGTGGAGGGGTGAGGGCAGGAGGTGGGGCGAGGGCAGCAGGAGGAGTGGGGGAAGCAAGGTCCTCGAATGAGAAAGAGTCGCCTTCGGAAAAATCTGCCTCAGCCATGTCAGCGGCACCAGCAGAAACAGCAGGGGCAGCAGAAACAGCAGAGGCAGCCGAGGCAGGAGAGGCAACAGAGGCAGCAGAGGCAGGAGCAGTGTGACGTGACTCGTCCATGGAAATCCCCAGCGCATGAAGCCGAATGGGCGCCTCTCCATCAGTGTGCACTGGTCCAGCATCCAGCCCAGAACCAAGCTCAGTTCCACGCATGAATTCAGTTGCAGGTTCAGGTTTGGGTTCAGGTTCTGGTTCATCCTGGGATTCAGGTCCAGGAGCAGGTTCGAGTTCAGGCTGCCTGGAGAGTGGCAGCAGAGGCAGAGGTCCCAGGCCCACGTTTTGAGGGAGGGCCTCCCAAGCCCCGACTTGGTGTGAGTCTTCCATGGACAAGATGGTTTCGTGGCCACTCCCAGCATCAGCAGAGCCTGCCATAGGTCCATCTCCCGGTGGCACAGAGGATGGCCCTGGCTCATGTGGAAAGGAGAAACCTGCAGGCTGTTGAGCGCCAGGTGAGGCACCTGTGGTAGAACTCTTTGCGTGAATGTAGAACTGGAGCGACACCTCTTCAGGTGGAATTTCAGGCTGTTCCGTATACTTGCGAGCAGCAGTGAATGCAGCAGCGGAAGCAGCAGTTTTGGAGGCAGTATAGAGGGACCCAGGCTCATGGATAGTCACCCTTGTCTCTGCTAACCCTGCTACAGGAGCCTCCCCTAGGGATGCAGAGGAAATGGAACCCCCGTGAAGCCCCTTCTAATCACCGACAACAGAAGCAGCACCAACACCAACAGCACCAGCACCAGCACCAGCAGCACCAGCAGCAGCAGAGTAACCACCAGCCGTGCTCCCAGCAGCACCAGATTCAGATTCCGAGCCAGACCCCACTCCCTGCGCCACTGCCGTAAACCCATGCCCCTGACCACCACCACCACCACCACCACCACCACCACCACCACCACCACCACCATCGCCACCACTACCACCATCACCCGCACCCGCAGCACCCCCTTTGGGTGTGGCCATGGAGCGCATCACCGCACTCAACTCCTCGCCGAGCGAGTCCTCATTCCCCCACAGCTCGATGCGCATGGCCTCGATCTACGCGTCCATCAGGACCGCCGAATCTGTCTTTTATTGCTCCTCGCCGCCGCCCAGATCACGCCGCACCACCTGCAGGTCTGTGACTACCTCACCCATGGACGGGTGGAGCACCGTGCGCTGGTCCGTGCAGCGCACTGCGACGCCGGCTATGAGGAGGAGCGCGTGGTCGGGCGCGTCGGGCAGGGCCGGGTCGCAGATGGCTGAGGTGTCGTGCGTAGACACGGCTTGCCTGGCCTGGGTGGAGGAGGGAGGAGGGAGGAGGGAGGGCAACGAGAGGGGAATGGGGGGTGAATGAGGGATGGGGAAAGAAGTGGCACAGGGCAGTGCGGTACCGACTAGCAAGCACGTCCATCTTGGGCATGCACAGAACCGCTCAGGTGCTCTTCACCATAGATGGACGGACCAGCGGTGGTCCGTGATGCTCTTCACCTGAGCGGTTCTGTGCACGCCCAAGATGGACGCGCTTGGTAGTCAGTGCTGAGAGCATGCTGGGAGCATGCATGCAGTCACAGCCAACAACCACATTCAAAGAAATGAAAAGAAGAAAGGACTGAGGCACGAGCCCCTAGCAGCCTTACAAGGTCTCGCAGGTACGTGAACTTCTTGTATGCTGACTCAACCACCTGCCGTCCCATGCGCATCACCAGGATGAGCACTCCAAAGCTGCCATGCCTGAGAGCACGCGGGAGGGTGGGAGAGAGGGATGGAAAAGAGACGGGAAAAGGGGTAGGAAAGGAGGTGAGGTGTGGAGAGGAATGTGGGGAGGGAGGGGTGGGTTGAGAGGGGATTGTGATAGAAGAGGGAGAAGAGAAAGGGTATGAGGAGGAGGAGTACATAGAGACGGAGAAGGGCATGGGGGGATGGGGCTGCAAAATAAAAAGAGGGAGCAGAGAGGCAGGAGGGAGACATCTAAGAGAGCTGGCTGCGCCTTGCAATTTCCTATCTGGAGAGGGATGCTCTTCTGAATGCGAAGCAAGAAAATGCCAGCACCAGCACAGCACACTGTAGACGTCAGTGGCGGTAGTGGCTTTCTGTGAGAGCAGGTATGCAGGGTCCATATAGCCCGGCGTGCCCATCACCCACGGCACCGACAGGTGCCCCGGCCCATCTTCCTGCTTCACTAGCCCAAAGTCTGCTATCGTTGCCTGCAATGATAGGAAAGGGCGGGGAGAAGAGGGGAGAGAGGGGGAGAGAGAGAGGGGGGGGGAGGGAGTCTCTTTTTTTCCATCCTTCACCAGAACAAAGTGCGTCATTTGTGTGCCGGCCCATTGTCTTGCTAAACCAGGCAAAATTTTGCTGTCTTCACCGGCAATAATTGGGGGGTTGGGGGGGGAGAAAGAGGGGGAGGAGGTGGGAGGTTCGCAGAATAAACGGACGGTAAAATGAAGAGTTAGATGGGAAGAGGAAGGGAGGGGGAAGGGACCAAGGGGCAGACAGCTTAGAGGAGGGTAGAAGGAAAGGACTTGTAGCATCCGGCATCACCAGAACAGGTCCGGTGTTCTTGCCTGCGGTGTCGTGATGCTGTACCTGCACGCCCTTCCTGCCAGCACTGCTCACCTGCATGTCGGCGGTGATGAGGATGATGGCGGGCTTGATGTCACGGTGCACGATGTTGAAGCTGTGCATGTACTCAAACCCCCACGCCGTGCCGATCAGAATGTCCAGCCGCTGCCGGATGGTTAGACTGCCGGACGCCTCTGCACCCATGTGCACACACACCAACACACCAACACACAGTTGCAGGAGGGAGGGCAGGAGAAGCGAGGCGAGATGAGCCGAGGAGCAGGCGGCGCCCCCCGATGTGGACGAGCTCTGCAACTCACGTTTAGAATCAGCGAGCAAACACCAACTCACCAAATGCCGAAACATCAAACCCAACTCCCATTCCAACCTGAGCGCCCTTCTTTCCAGCCCATGCTTGCTTGCTGAGATGAGACCTACTCGTAGGTCCCATTCAGTGGTTGAGGACTGGAGTCTCGAGGCGTTCCCATTGGGGACGCAAGGACTCGTAGACCATAATCGAAGCCACCCTGAACAGGCTTGGAGTGCAATCCTGAACAACAATCTTAGCCGCCCCTCCATCCTCGTACTCCCCTATCAAACCCTGCTACTCCTTGCCCTTCTCACCGCAGTACCCCAGCAGCCCCAGCAGCCCCAGCAGCCCCAGCAGCCCCACTAGCCCCACTAGCCTGAACAGCCCCACTCAGGTGATTTTTTTAGTCGAATAAAAAAGGCCCAGCAGCCCCAGCAGCCCCAGCAGCCCCAGCAGACCCAGAAGCCCTAGCAGCCCCAGCAGCCCCTCTCCCCAACCCCTCCCAAATGTGTGCATCCTGACCAAGTCCTATCCAGTGGTCCTCTTTCCCCCCTCCCGTGCACGTGTGCTTACTACACTCCGCCCTGTCCAATGTGCCCCACCCTCCCTCCCATCCTTGTTTGTACTCACTTGGTCCGATCAAGTGGTAGAGGTCCCCATTCGGCACAAACTCATAGATGAGGATCTGCTCCTGCTGTTCCTTGTCCTTCTCGTCCAGTACCCTAACAGCCGCACCAGGTTCGGGTGGTGCTTAGTCGCCATCTGCCGCACCTCTTTGTCAAAGTCAGCCGTCACCACATGCCCGCGCTTCACCGCCCACAACGTGCCCCCGTCGCGCGGGCTCACCCCCTAGTACACGTCCCCGAACCCGCCCGCGCCCAGCCGGTTCTCTGGTGCCCAGTTGTTGGTGGCGTGCTTGACCTCCGCTAATGAGCACTCCACAAAGGCTTCCACGCTTTGCACCAGGTGCAGCAGACGTGAGGGGATTTGAGGGAAGAGAAGTGAGTGGTTTGCAGTGTGAGCAAGCGTAGACAAGTTGCTGGTGGCGCGCTTGACCTTGGTCAGCGAGTACTCGACGAATGCCTCCACGCTTTGCACTGGCAGGGCGAGGGGGGGAGAGGGGGGGAGGAGGGGGAGAGGGGGGGAGAGGGGGGGAGGAGGGGGAGAGAGGGGGGAGCGGGGGGAAGTGGGGGGGAGAGGAGGGGAGAGGGGGGGAGAGGGCGGGAGAGGGGGGAAGAGGGGGGGAGAGGGAGAGAGTGGGGGAGATGGGGGGATGAGCATAGAGGGAGAGCGGACAGTGTTGCTTCACCTGGCCAGGAGTACACCCCAAACGCCTCCCCGCTTTGCACTGGAATAGACGAGATGGAGGAGAGTGGAGGGAGCAAGGGTACTCTGCACTCCAGGGAAGATTAAGCATGGCTGTAGCCAGTAGTGGCCAGTTGTTGGTGCCGTGCACCCCCTCACTAATACTTTCACTCTTGGCTCACTATCACTCTCCCTCACTCTCACTCTTCACCTCCTCTTCAATCTCCTTCTCACTCATACTCTCGGCCACATGTACCAACCTCGAGCAGATGCCCCCATGGCCCCACCCTTCATCCTCTGCAGTCCTAGTCGACGGTACAAGAGCCATCCGCCCAGGAGAGGAGGAGAGGTTGAGTGGAGTGGAGGTGGATGGGGTGGTGAGGCAGGAAGTGTTGGAGAGAAGGGGGGCTGGGGGGTCATAGAGTGTTGATGGGGGAAGGGGGGGGGCACAGTATTGGGGGTATAAGTGGCAGAAGCGTGAGTTGTTAGCGAGAAAAGAGTAGCACGAGAAGGTGGCAGATGAGTTGTTGGCAGCAGCGTGTGCCTACAGTGAGCGCAGCACCGCATGATTACAGTGAGCGCAGCACTGCGTGCTTACAGTGAGCGCAGCACCGCATGCTTACAGTGAGCGCAGCACCGCGTGCTTACAGTGAGTGCAGCACCGAGTGCTTACAGTGAGTGCAGCACCACGTGCTTACAGTGAGAGCAGCACCGCGTGCTTACAGTGAGTGCAGCAGCGGGTGCTTACAGTGAGAGCAGCACCGCGTGCTAACATGGAGAGCAGCACCGCGTGCTTACAGTGAGAGCAGCACCGCGTGCTCACAGTGAGAGCAGCACCGCGTGCTCACAGTGAGAGCAGCACCGCATGCTCACAGTGAGAGCAGCACCGCGTGCTCACAGTGAGAGCAGCACCGCGTGCTTACAGTGGGAGCAGCACTGCGTGCTTACAGTGAGTGCAGCACCACGTGCTTACAGTGAGAACAGCAACGCGTGCTTACAGTGAGTGCAGCACTGTGTGATTACAGTGAAAGCAGCACTGCGTGCTTACAGTGAGTGCAGCAGCTCGAGGCTGCCCAGGTCCGGGGGAAGATAGCCTGTGAGTTGCGTGCGGTTAAGGTCACTGGGGGGGGGGGGAGAGGGGAAAGGGTCGTGCGAGTTGGTGTAAATGGGCAGCAGTACTCACGAGAGCGTTGCGCAAGCGAGCAATGCGCAGGCTAGCAGTGCGCAAGCGTTTCTAGCAGCTCAGAGTGCCTCACAGCGTTTCTAGGAGCTTGAGAGCTGCGAGGTTGGGTGGAAGAGTGCCCGAGATGCTGTTGGCACCCAGTGCACTGTGGGTGGTGCAGGGTGGGGAGAGGTGTGAGGAGGGGGGAGAACACAGGGAGAGGGGGGAGAACGTGGGAAGAACGCGGGGAGAGGGGGGAGAAAGTGGGAGAGAACGCGGGGAGAGGTAATGGGGAAAAAGAGGGGGGGAGCGAAGGAGGAAGGAGGAGGGGAGAAGTGAGGGATAGAAGGGGAGGGAAGAAATGGGGGGGGCAGAGACGAGGTTGATTGGAGGGCCAAAGGAGGGTGGGAGTAGGGCAGGATTAGGGCGGGAGTAGGGCGAGAGCGAGTGTGAGGAGTGGCAAGCAGCAGGCTGCTTCTCTCAGAACTTATCGCCATCGACAGCGGCACACACAGAGACCTCCACGCATGTGCTTGGGTGCACAGATGCGTGAGAGTGCGTGTGTGTGTCTGTGAGTATGTACGTTTTTGCGTGCATCTGCGTGTGTTTTGAGGTGTGTGTGGCATGCCATGCATGTGCGGCACTCACAGTGCACGGCACTCAGAGTGCGCGGCATGCACAACTCACGGTGCACAGAACTCACAGCGTCTTGAGGTTGGTGAGGTTGCCGATGCCCGATGGCATAGGCCTGCTCAGGCTGTTGTTCGCTAGCAACCTGCGCACCACGGCGTGAGAGGGGGGAGGGCGCGAAGGCGGGAGGGCGGGAGGGCGGACGGGCGGAAGGGAAGAGGGAGGGAGGGGGGGATGGAAGGATGGGAGGATGGATGGGTGTGAAGGGAAGTTTTAGGACAGCACCCAGTTTTAGGACATCATCTCCCTTGCCCCATCACATCTCCCTGGCCCCATCACACCTCCCTTGCCCCGTCACATCTCCCTTGCCCCGTCACATCTCCCTTGCCCCGTCACATCTCCCTTGCCCGGTCACATCTCCCTTGCCCCGTCACATCTCCTTTGCCCCGTCACATCTCCCTTGCCCCATCACATCTCCCTTGCCCGGTCACATCTCCCTTGCCCGGTCACATCGCCCTTGCCCCGTCACATCTCCCTTGCCCCGTCACATCTCCCTTGCTCCGTCACATCTCCCTTGCCCCGTCACATCTCCCTTGCCCCGTCACATCTCCCTTGCCCCGTCACATCTCCCTTGCGCCCTCACACCCTTACGGAACAAAAGCGGGAAGCGGCGAGCACGTGGTGCGGCACGTGGTGTGGCCCTAAAGCTTGGAGTGCCGGCAGGGCACGGCGCAAAGCAGACAACTGACAGCTGGACGAGCAGGGCGAGGCGAGGCAATTTCTGAGAATTCTCAAACATCACCGGCAGGCAGTGGCCATATGGCATGGAGTGGCGGCAGGGTGCGGGGCGCAGGGCAGACTACTGACAGCTTGGTGAGCAGGGCGAGGGTGCCGATGCTCTCGGGGATGGACCCGCTCAGCTGGTTGTTGCTCAGCACTCTGCACGAAAGGCACAGGCAGGGGGCCCCGGGGATACAGGGGCAGGGGAATAGGGGGGCAGGGGGACAGGGGGCATGTGGTGGGGAGAGACAACGACACAGGTGGGTGTGGGAAATACGAAGGAGAACTGGTTTGGAGAGCGGTGAGTAGGTGTCCGGAGTGGTGGAGGGACAGAGGGGGTGGATGGGAGGTGGTAGACGGCTCACAGTGCTTTGAGCGCGACGCAGGCAGTTATGTCAGAAGGGATAACCCCGACCAGTCAATTGCTGGAGAGGTGACTAAAAATTGGGGGGGGGGGGGGGGGGGGGAGGGGGGGTGAGAATGGTACACACATTATGGTAAGCCTATTGAACATGTTTGTAGATGTACGTGCTGGGAGGAGCCGAACTGACTGGCACAGTTGAATATGAGGCCGTGAACTCATGCTGGGTATCATGAATGGATATGCAGATTGGCATGCCATTGCATGGCATGGCACGCGGCATTGCATGGCATGGCATGCGGTTTAATGGTGGTACGATTTGGGAGGGGCACATGGTGGATGTGTTCATAGCACAAATATCCAGAATAGTACATTGGATCTAACTCATATCCCAAAAGATATACAAGTGGTACATCCGGACAAATAGTTCCAAGCAGAGAGACCAAACTTCAAAAGTGTGTTTCTAGTTTCTAGCCCATCGACCTTTGGCCTTGATCACCGCCCGCACCCTCCTAGGCGAGCTGTCGATGAGGCTAGAGCAAACCTCGGCATGGATCTTCTCCCATTCTTCCTGGACCAGCACTAAAAGCTGCAGCATTCTAGAGGAAGGCCTTTTATGCCTGGCTAGCTCCCTTTTCAGGTAAGCCCAGAGGTTGAGGTTTGATGAGAAA